TAAAGGATTTAAGATAAGCAGAACTAAGACAGAGTATATAAAGTGTAATTTTAGTAACAGTTACAATAGAAACAGAGGAGAAATGAAAATTGAGAACTAAGCACTACCTAAGAATGAAGATTTTCGTTATTTAGGATCAATAATCACAACGACTGAGAAGCTTAGAGCGGATGTGGTCCATAGAATTAAGGCGGGGTGGCTTAAGTGGAAGAATGCGTCTGGAGTACTATGCGATAAATGAGTACCCATTAGACTAAAAGGGAAGTTCTATAGGACGACTATTAGACCGACGATGTTGTATGGGACAAAATGTTAGGCAACTAAGAAACAACATGTACATAAAATGAGTGTTGTCGAGATAAGGATGTTAAGTAGATATGTGGCAAAACTAGAAAAGACAGAGTTAGGAATGACTATATTCGAGAATGGGTAGGAATAGTACCGATAGAAGATAAGTTGAGAGAGAATAGATTGAGATGGTTTGGTCATATACAATGTAGACCAACAGAGGCAGAAGTAAAAAGATGCGATATAGTGACTGTAGATGGTAGTGTTAAAGGAAGGGGTAGACCTAGATTGATGCGGACTAGTGTAGTGAATAGAGATATGAATCTCCTTAATTTGACTATCGAAATGGCCTTGGATAGAGTTGAGTTGAAAAGAAGGATTCATGCAGCCGACTCCATTTGATGGGACTTAAGGTTTGGTTTGGTTCCAAACGAAGCCTAAGTTTCTCCTTGCTTAGGTCGGAGGGAGAAAGAGTATGGAGGTTTGGTTATAGCTGCCAGAAAGTGAGAGAAAATGCTTTGATTAGATTGACAAACTTTATTACAGATTGTAAATGTTTCTGTTAATCCTATCAGTTTTGGAGTTATAGCTCTCCCAAATAATGTCTTCGCTGTGACTCAATCTGGATTTCATCTTGGAAAATTGAGTGGGAGAGTGCCACCTAAGCATGTTAGCTACAAGTTGGAATAGATTTCTTATTTCCTACTCTCTTTTTTCTTTTTCTTTTTCCTTTTGTGAATGACAGTAACTAGCACTATCATAACCTTCTTTCCTTCATGACCTCATAACCACACCCTCGAGTCTCACTTTGGAAATAACATCTTGTTGACCTTCAACCAACATGATTCTACCTTTGGAACTTTGTTGAATCCCCTTCTTTAGTCCTAGCTTTCTACACACTACTAGCTTCTTCTTTGCCGTTAGAATCTTACCATGTCTTAATGGAAATGAATTCTAGAATCAAAAAATAGATATTATCTTCGTCAACTCAACTTAATGCTACAAACCTTAAACCAAACTATTTGGAATTTATTAGATGGATTTGTCTTCACCAATCTGTAGAGTCATATTCTCCGTTCCACATTCTTTGTCATCTTCCTGTTGTCCTTTTGTCAACCTATGTTACATGGACTCGTCACTTTGGGGCGAAGTACCCGTGTCGACACGACACGACACGGGTGCGGGTGTGAGATCTGTGTCGGATTCACCTCATCTCTCTCGGACACGGCATTTTACAGACAGCAAACAAATGGAAGAGGAGAAAGGAAGAAAACCTGGTCACTGGTCACTGTTGGCTTCGATCATCGATCACGATTAGGGCTCTCACTATTGATCACGATCATCTTCGTCTAGGGCTTCGATCGTCTTCGTCTAGGGCTTCGATCACTGTCGATCTCGACCTCGAGCTCGATCGTCTTCGTCTCTCTCTTCGTTTCTGCTTCTCTCTCCCTCTTCGTCTCGTCTCTGCTACTCTCTCTCTCTCGTCTCTCAATCTGTTCTCTCTCTTCGCCTCTGATTTAATGATCATATATATTGATCATATATAATATATATAATATAATTTATATAATTTATCATATATATAATTTATATAATTTATCATATATAATAATAATTTTTATAAATTATTATTCAAGTATTACATTTACATTAATATATAATATATAGTATAAATTACATTAATATAATAATATGTAATATTATTCATCTAAAAAAAATTATATAATACAATAGATATTATATAAATTATATAGATATTATATAATAATTATTGTATAACATATAAGATATTTATAAGATAATATATACTTATATATATTAATAAAAATAAATAAACACATATATGTAAAATAATTATTTGTTATTTATATAATATAACTCATCTTAATAACTATATTTAAAATATATATATATATATATATATTTAACGTATCCCCGTACCCGTATCCAAATTTGGATACATATCCACGTATCCTTAATTTTTAATTTTGAAGTGTCCGACCCCTAGATACGCACCCACACCCGATCCTCGTACCCGCGTCCGTGTAACTTAGTTGTCAACTTCAACTTGGATCAAATTACTCTCTGTGCTTGTGCATTAGCCTGTCGACAACGCATATGGCCAAACCATCTCCAATAAGTATTTCTCATTCCAATTTCAATTGATGCTATTGACACCACTTCCAACATCTTTTAATTATTGTATCTTCTCTTGAATTGCTTTTCTTTAGTCTCAACATCCTCATTTCAGTTATCCTCATTTCCTGAACATGTTAATTCTTACTTTCCCAACATTCTATAGAATAAGCATTATCTGTTCTTATACATGTTTTGTGGAGCATTCCCTTGGCAGGAATAGTATAATCACTCAGCTTTCCATAAGCACTTCCATTTACATTACATTCATTCTACACCAACCAACACCCTCGATTTGTCCAAAATATGCCTTTTTGGTTTGATAGTTCAATAAATAGTTTAAATTTAATTTAAATAAGCCAAAATCTGGGCCCTATTCTAGTAATGCAAATTCGGGCCTCACTAGCACAATGTTTGTTTATAAAGTCTATATAAAGAAGAATATGTTTAATTGTAAAGAGACTTTATTTAAGGGGACTTATGCATCAAGTTTAGTAATCACATGATGTATCAGATGAAGCTTGCTCCCTACAAGGTATGTTGTAGATTGTGACAGCTGGTGGAGGTTTATTGATGAATGCAGTTTTGCTTTCCGATATACCCACCAGGGAAAAAAAAAAAAAAAAGGATGAATGTAGTTTGGAGTTCTTATGGTGTTGGGTTGTGGAATGGCAATAAGAAAGGATGGGTGGTGTTCTTGAAGTACATCTACTTCTGAGTAAGAAATGACAAGCAAATAAGCTTTTATCTGGTGTGTGCATGCAGCTACCAAGCTGTTCCCAGATCCATCTGGTATTCATGTTAATAAAGATGCATCTATAGTAGATTACATAACCTACAGTAAGTGCATTGGCATGGTATTTGTGGTCCTCGGGAGCTAGAGTTGGTGCTTGCCTGATTGTACTGTTCTTTGGCATACCTGTATACAGTGATAGGGAGGATAAATCGAAATAGAAGATTTAGATGCATGGGAAATTTGGACTGATGTTTCATAATGTTTTTTGTATCAATGATTTGTCAGATTTTCCTCAGGCATAGGCATGCCAAAGTTTTTCAAAGTTGTCTTTCTCTGCATGGACAGAACACCGTTATATGCAAGCTTAACAGTTCACAATTTGATGAGGGGAAATGTTCTTCCTAATTCATTAATGTGCAAGCATGGTGCAAAAGAAACTGTGAAGCACTATTTGTTGCATTTTAGAATGGCTAGAGAGTTCTAGAGTTTTTGTTTCCCTTGTAGGAGTTCAACAGTTACGATTGACCTGTTAGCGTGATGGTTTTGGTGAATTTCTCCGCTTCCACTTTGTTGAAAGAAGGGCTTATATTTTTGCAGTGAACTTCAGTGAGATTAAGGACCAAGGAGATAAAAAGTTTTTATTCCACACTAAACTCCATTTGCCCAAGATACCTTTCATACCAGCCACATGATATTTTCACAAGTAGACCCTTTAATTACATAGATGGAGAAATGTCTAGAATGAGTTGATAACACCACTTTGATTAGGTCTGCTTTCCTACCCACCTTAAAGTTTTACATTGTGGACTTGTGGCAAGAAGTGGAGGAAAAGAGTAAAACTTCACTCCATTATTACATACTCAAGTCAACTGCATAAGAGGAGTGCATACATATTACATCATCTGAACAACATTCATTAACTCTTCACAAGATCACTCTTCAACTACGAGATTAAATATATTCATAGACTACCCTATCAACACAAGCCTAGGACTTGCTAGAACTAAAATATAGTTTTCATAAATCCAAATTTAAGTGCTGCGGAAGTGGGAGGTGAGTTTGCATGGCAGTGATATTGGGTGTTTGGAGGATTGGAATACACTATCTTTCAAAGGTGCAGAGATTCTTGCACGTAAGTTGAGCTGTTGATGCTAAGTAAGTACCCAATTCCTATAGTCTTATTGAAGTCTATCTTTTTTGTCAGATGATGACAGGGTTTCCTCATTTTGGCACATCTTAGGTGCTCTCTAATGGTCAATGGAAGGTATTCTTCTTTCCAAATACATCATTACGTGATAGGGTCCTTACAATACTATTGTGAAACATTTTAAAGAAATTCCATACCAAATTTTTAAATCTGGTTGCAATTTTTGTGTGAACTTATTCTATCGCATCTGAACAAAGATCAATGAATGCACACAAAGATCAAGAGCTTACATAAGCACTATGAAGATCCTTGACCAGATTTTTTATTTTATTTTTTTGTCAATTTTCCTACAAAAATGAGAAAAATGAAATCTTAACAGTTGGCTATTATGTCAAGCATCTAAGCTCCAACTCCTAGCAACCCAACTCAGCAATTTCAAGTCCAGAGTGAGTAACCAAGCTTCTTTTAAAAAAAATTGATTTGAAAAGTTACTGCAAATAAATTGCTCAAATTCATGAATAAGTTGCCTTCCTCTACAGTTTGCCCTACCAATGCCCTAAATCTAGAGTTCCAAACTTTCCCAGATTATAAAATTTTCATGTAAACAATAGAAGATCTATTTCACAACCCCACAAGGCATAAAAAAATATATATGTATATATATATACAATTGAGTAGAGTAATAGAACTTACTCTTTCAATGGAGGACTCAGTGGAGCGAACAAAGCGAACAACTGGGTTGCTACTGGGGCTGGCTAGGGCGTAGTTGAGGCCCTTGTCAGGGACTTTAGAGGATTGAGAAAAGGGCTTTGATGAAGGATTGGAGGATACAATGGTTTCAGGTGAGGACGATGATGATGATTCAGGGGATGCTGCTGATGAGCTCTGAGAAGCAAGCGGAGGGAATGACAAGTAGCGTCTGTGAGTTCTTCTTGGAGGGTGAAGGGTAGATATGGAGAGAGAGGGAGGGATAGACGAGATTGAAGCACACAGAGCCATGGTCGATCGATTCAGGAGATTGTGTCACAGTGTGTGTGTGTGTGTGAGAGAGTGAGAGAGAGAGTGCAAAGGGAGTTGTGTTCTGACCATTGAAAAGGTTCATGTCTTGTGTGGGACCCGCCATTCTTGATGAGTTTATGGCGGGTGGCACTGCAGTTCATGCCGCGGTATATTTTTGGGGAAATACTGCCGAGAGGGAAAAAATTTTAAAAAAAATTTAAAAAGAAAGAAAGAAAAAAAAAGGGTAGATTATCAACAAATCTTTTTTTGAAAGAGGTGTAACTTATTTAATTTCATAATCTTTGCTTAGGCCAAGTTTGACATCTACTAAATAATATAAAAAGTCAAAAAATTACTATCTTATTTAAGTCACATTATCTTATTTAAATCGCATCACCTCTCTAACACATCACATCAAACCCAACCCAAACCTAACCCATATAAATCAATAAGTCAAAAAGTACACTTTTTTAGAACATTCCAAACCAACCCTTATATTTATAAGTCTTGTAGCATTTTTTTCTACTTTCGTCTTTTTTTCTTTTTTCTTTTTTTTTTTTGTCTCTTTCTCTTTTTTATTTCTGTCAATTGGCAATCGACCACCAGCAATTACATCTCTTTTTTTTTTTTTTTTTTTTTTTCTAATATATAGTCATTAGCAATCGACAATCACCATCAATTGGAGTTTACCAACAATCACTGATTACCAACTCCTTACTTTATTCTCACTAATGATGAAGGAGATGAAATTTTTGACAAAAAAGATGAGTAGATCTATATCAAATTCAACTAGATCTAAACCAAAAACAATTGTCAAAGTACAATCATATCTCTACATCTGTCTCTCTACTTTGATCTCTCAATTTTTCTACCTTTTCTTTGCTATACACTTCTCTTTTTCTATTTTAATGGAGAAAATTTTCAAATTTTGAACAAGTTGTTTTCGAATTTTAGTTACAAACGGTGAAAATTGTAAAATTTTACTGTTTCAATTTTTTGGGTGTTGAAAATGAATTTTGGTTTAAAACTGTAAAATTTTATAATTTCATAAAATTCATTAGAACTGTAAAATTTTACAATTTTATAACATGTTTTTCAGTTTGACTAATAAAGATAAATGCTTAATAGATTTTTTCTTTAAAACTATAACATTTTACAGTTTTAAAGCTTACTTTTTAGTTTGATCAATATTGAAGATTTTTTGCTTAAACTCTACTAAAATTAAAAAATAACATATATTTTGTTTCCATTGTTGTTTGTTGTTGTTATATTTTTTTTCTTTTCAATTTATCAATATTTAACATATTTTGCTATATTTTTTCGCTTTAATTTTTCCATTTTATTTCTTTTTTTGGCAACATTCTGGACATGTAGTGAGTTTTTGACGATATTCTTAACATCCAGCAAACATTCTGGACATTCCGACAACTTCTAATGACATTCAGAATACTCCAGCAATACTTCAATGATACTTTGACGACTTCCTAATGATGTTGAACATTCCGGTAAATCTCCGGTGACTGTCTGACGGAAGTCCAACAGTGATACGATGTAGCAGCGTCTATAATTTTTTTTTAAAAAAAATTGGTAATAATTAAAAATATGTAAGATTAATTGGTGCAAGTGTTTTATTTTGTGATTAGATGAGTTTTAAATTTTGTGTATGAGATTTACCGGTAAATTTCCTAAAAACCTTACATTTTATTAATAGAGATGGCAAACGGACAAGTTTAAATGAATAACTGGTCAAAAGAGAATTAGCCCCAAATCATCCATTTAAGTAACAGATTATATATGGGCGGGTCAAATACGAGTAACAGCATACTCGACCCGACCTGACCTTTATTTATTTATTTATTTAAAGGCATGCATTTCCTTATTTATTTATTTATTTTGTTGGTTTTGTTTGAAACACAACTACCTACTATAAATAAATGATTATTATTTTTTAGAATAAGTTTCAATGATTTTGCTACAAAACACATCAACCATCTACTGTAATATATATATATATATATATATATATTTTTAACATGTCTTTCATTGATTTTGTTTTGAACACTTTTTTATATCTATCTATCTATCTATACTATTATAAAGTGAACACAATTTCTGGTGTCGTGAAGCTTTACTCTTCCCATGTCATGTGGCAGTATTTTTTATTTTTTTTAAAAAAGTTAAACAAAGAGATGGGCAAGGCTTGAACCCATGATCATGGGTTTAAGTACGAGGACTCATACCACTTAAGCTAAGTACACATTATAATATTAATTTCATTATTATTTTTTTTTATTCCTACTTATTTAAATTGCACACACATCGTGTGTGCCACCCACTAGTATATATATATATATATATATTTTTGAGCATCAACAAAAAAACATAGATATGTATTAGCAAAGAGTACGTACAGATTTAGCAAGTTTATGTGTTGGTTCCACATCAGATCTACGTCCTTCACATATACAAACAAACTGAAAATAAACAGTATAGTTCCTAATATCGCCAAAAAATCACCGCAGCAGACCAATCTGGAGATTGTAAGCGTTGGACGATGTTGACCAAAAGTAGGCAATCTATAAAAATAGAAATGTCATTGCTTTGCCTATTGCAAGGCTGCTAAGAAAGCCCGAGCTTCAACCGCCAACGGAGACGAAAGGTAAACTTAGCGAGCTTCGCTATCCACGTTATCTTGCCATTGTGCCTACCAGGAACCATCTACAACCAGGGGCGGAGGGAAGGTGTGCCCCCTTGAGTTTTGGATTTCTTTTTTTTTTACAAACATAAAGAAAATATTTTATATAAAAAAATTTATAAAAATATTAGTTAGAGTGAAATGTCAATGATATATTTAAAATTATAAGAACAATAATAATTATTTTGATTTAAAATAAAGAGACTACGATATTATTATCTATGAAAATTTCAATATAATAGTGATCTTTAACATTATTGATATGCAAATATAATTAATTTCAATGAAAATATAAAATTTATTGAATTCTTAATTACATTTAATATGCAAAATTCATCCTCTATGTATTTCTTTATTATTGGTTGATAATATCACATGTCAATAATTGCATGGTGTGACTATTATATTAAATTTTTATGTATATTTTGTATAAAAAATTACTTTTTCATTATATAATTTATTTTAAAACTTTATATCCATGACTTTTTTTAATGTTGTCCATGATACACTAATTACAAATAACATATTCACTTTGTTTGGTTTGAGTTTTCTAAAAACACTTTTAAAAAAATTCTATGTTTTTGTTTTTCGTATTTTTTTGTTTTTATTGAATTTTTTTAATATTTTAAACAATTTTTTTTTAATTTTTAGACACACCAAACATAAAGAAAAATGCCTCATACACCCACTTGGGGTTGACCCCCAGTGAGGTGGCACTCCATTATTGGCCAAAAAAAAAACTGTTTTTTTTTTTTTTTTTTTTTTTAAGTTTCAACCAATGGGGGCGCGACACCTCACTGGGGGTGCGACCCCCACTGGGGGTATGCAGCACTGCTGCAAACATAAATATATTTAAAAAGTATAATTTTTGAGAAAAAATCTTTAAAAATTCAGTAAATACCAAAAATTTTAAATAATGTATAAAAAATCAGTACATTTTTCGTATTTTTATGTATTTATTAATTTTTTAAAATATTTTTTCACAAATATTTTATTTTTTTTAGATACATCATGCATCTAAAAAAGTAAAAAAAAAATGCTTAAAATTTTAAAAATATTCACTAAAAACAAATAAAATATAATATAATAAAAAATAAAAAACTTAATTTCCAAAAAACTTAATTCAAAAAATTTAAACCAAACACATTGATTATTATTTTATTTTATTTTATTTTTCTTAAAGTCAATCGTAAAAATTTATATGAAATATTTTTGTAAATATTTTTAATATTGTAATTAAAAAGTATCTTCTCTGATTTATTTTCTTGGCTCCGCCACAGTCTACAACAAACGTCTACAACAAACGTCCACACCTCAAACGAACTATCATCAGTTAGCGAATTAAACAAGAAACAAGAAGTTAGTTCATTATCCATCATTTTCACCAGTTGTGCACAAATAGATTTCTCATAAGCTCATGGTTACAGAGAAAAGAAGAAAATGAAAGCAAATTGAGTTTTGAATCCTATGTATTTTGCTTTAGCCTCCGTTTGGGAAGTGAGTTGATTTTTTGATTTTTTTTGTTATTTTAACCTAGGCTAAAAAGCTTGGTTTGGGAAAGACTTTTTGGCTTTTTGACTTTTTTGATTTTTTTTGTGAGAGAAGAGTGTAATCATTATGAGTTAGATGTGATGTTTTGTTTGTTGTGGCTAAAATAACTTATTTTATTTTTTGTGACTATTTTAACCCCAAAATCGCATGCCAAACACCACCTTAAGAAGCCAGAGTGAACAAAAATCTCCAGTAAGCCAAAACAATAACACATGATTCTAACACCCACGCTCGAACATGTAGCTAGACAAATTTAGAAAATTAGCCCTCAAAAGCACAGTACCCCAAGCATGCATTTTTTCTTTAATGGCTCAATATTTATTTCATTTAGTTTCCTGCATTGTAACTATAACCAAACAATAAAGAAGACTACCACAGTTCAACCAAAAATAATAAAAGCTCATACAAGCACCAAACAACACAGTGGCCTACTTCAACAACTAGAAAGTCTACAAAATCACAAACAATTCAAACATCACTAAATGAGTATAAATTATTAAAGTGATAATAAAAGTACGCAAAAGAGGTGAAAGAACAAAGCTATAAACTCATACATGTCAACTTGGTGAAAGCACTCATTTAGCAATGAGAAGAAGCATGTGAACTGGTTCCAAGTCCAACAACTTGTTTTCAAAATCCTCTATGAGTGCTTCCTCTTCTACTAGATCTTCCGAAAGTGATAATCACAAAAAAGGTAAAAACAAATGACATGTATTATACAATTAAGTAAATTTGATTTCATTTACTTACCTCCACAACTGTATAGCCAATCTTAAGTGCATAAGATTGCCTCTACATTCTTGGGCATGATTGAGGAGCGATATTTGTCAATAAT